CGGTTTGGGAGAAAGACGCAGCCCTGTATTCAGCAACCAGATATAAAATATTGTTATCCTTTTTTAACACATTTGAACTTTTCGTGTTATTACTTTATTTTCTTTTACATATACTTGTGCGGTATTACCCTTGTTCGGACCCGATTTGCATTACGGCCCAGCGACTGATTGATTTCGTCTACCTAAGATCAAATCACAACGTGGGTAGGTTAGACTAGAAATCAAAACAGTTACTTCGGTAACCAGACGTTGGAGGCGAGCGGGGAACGACAAGGATGATGCTGAATCTAACCAGATTCCCATCCGAATCAGCACAAGGTTAGAACGTCACATTTGGTGCCGCGACCAATACCAAGTCACATTTGTTGTCACAGGACAGGATAGGACGGTGACCGCGCGGAGACAGCCGGGGTGACGTCACAATTGACGCTGCGACTAGGACAGCACGACGGGCGCGGCTAGGCAGACGTCACATTTAGCGCAGCGACGTCCGGGGGTACGTCACATTGGGTCAACCCTTGGTATGGTTTTACAGACACTTTACAGACTTACCGCACGCCAAGAGGTTAGCTTCCTGACAAATCGACGTTGGTCAGACATCGACGAAATATGTAGTCTCGATGCATTTCCACGTTAAAATTCACTTCCTTTCTGCCGTGGGATAAGATATCTGACTGATGTCAAATGAGTCGGATTTCGATCACATCCTGAAGCAATCGGACGTCTATCCACACTGAGGAGCTGCGATACAGCGAAACATTCTGTCTGTGGATATATATATATATATATATATATATATATATATATATATATTTTATTTATAAAAAAATCATAACATAAGTATACTTATGTTATAATTTTTTTATAAATAATAATTATATCTGGTCTACTTTGTATTGAGCACTCTTTTAAGAATAGTAATTGTTGGTTATTGGAATTCATTCCGTATATACCAATTATATAATTGGGTATATATATATATATATATATATATATATATATATATATATATATATATAAGCGTTTCACCCAAAGCAAGGCGAGAAGCCAATAGGACCGCAAGGGGTTACAGAAAATTTGGATCAATATCAGATAAGAGTGATAGAGGAAAAGATGAGGATAAAGATAGTGGCTAGATCAAGGCAACTGAAGATATCGATTGACATTACATTTGAATAGCTGGGGATTACAGCTCTCAGGGAAACTGGAATAGGGAAGGGAGTTCCACAGGCGAGAGGTGCGAGACATGAAGCTATTGGAGTAGAAGAGACGGCTACATTTAGTAGTTTCGACAGTGAAAGGGTGAGAGCGCGATGACAGCCTCGTAGGGCGCTGGAACTCATGAAGTCTGGGAACCAGCGAATGCAGCTCCTCGGAGCAATTGCCATGAAAGTATTTGTAAAAAAGAAAGAGAGATTTGTTTGTGTGTGTGTATTTATATTTGTGTGATTGTAAAGTTGCAAATTTATTAGAAGGAAGTCAAGAACATGGTTCAATGGTGGAGCTTAATTATGCATGCGAACGCATTGAAATTGAAATAGATCGACTAAACAGGAAAAGTGTACCAGTTCTCGTCCCTTTATAAATGAACAAAACTTGACCTGCAATAGGTGTCCCTGTTTTGTCAGATTAAATATCAGAAGTAAGTGGAAATCTGGAGATATCTATAGACCTATTAAGATAATTGGAATCAGTTTGAAACATGAATGTCGCTGTTGTACGAATTACGACGCCCGAATAAAGTTAATTGGTAGAACTTTTAATCAGTCGAGAAATCAAAACCATCCTAAACAAAAAACAAAAAAAACAAAAAAAAATCAAGAAGAATCCTGGGGATGGTTCTGGGCTATGAAAGAGAAGGACCTTTAATTGATCATTTGCGACATTCGTTTTACTGTATTTTTCTTGTAAGCGAACAAGGGTTTTTCGTGATTCGATATATCAGTGAATATTTATATTACAAAGAGTATTGTCTTAATTAAAAGCACTTACAACAATGAAGCAACCGACTGTTACACCTACAGAAATTGAAAGAAGTAGTCATATTAAAAAATTAAGTAACTTTTTAAAAAAATTTTTATTGATTCTACTTACATCATATATAGTGCTTGCGACTAATAATTATACAACAGTAACCGAAGTCTAAAACTATTAATATTAATGCTGCATTTTAACATTCACGTCTATCATGACTACTCTCAGAATAATTGCAACTCCTACTCTTAATAAATATGAGTAAGGGAAGGATGAAGAGATACGGACCATTTTGAGAGTCGATGTAGCCATTAGGCCTTGTCATATAGGTTGCACACTGTTTCTTTATAATAGTGTGCTAATGGTTACTTACCGTCCATCATAGACTAATGGGCCCTGCGATTGATCTCTGACGGAGTAGTGGCATTCATCAAATTATGTCTATTATATGCTACTAACGCTGGCACAGTGTGTGTTCCACCAGCACCACCATAACTAACATTAAAAGGACGCCGATTCGACCGCTTGTTTCTGCTTACACATAGCGCAAACTACGAGAGACGTTCACATACTCTTTGTAAAATTCTCAGCACTCATTTGTCAAAGCATGCGTTCAATATTTTCTTTAACACACACAAACACACGCACTCGCACTCACACACACACACGCATATATATATATATATATATATATATATCAGTTTTTAGTTAATTTTTGGGTGGTTGATTTCCTAATTTTATTAGCATTAATATCGAATTCTTTCATGAAATCAATCAATCGGCGATTATCATTTACACTATATACATTGTTCGGACCGTTGTGTCTGATCTTTATTGTCATATTACGACGTTTCGACCGTTGTACGTTCCGGCCCACTTCAAGAGATTTAAGCGTTGGAATTTCGAACTGAACTCTTCATTTATTACGCGTGGGTAGATTTTTCTAGTTCCACGTGCCATGCCTTTTCCATTTCAGTTATTTCCCTTTATTAACTCAACACTCCAAGTTTTGTTCACAAATCTCTGGGCCAAGTCACAGGTTTACTTCAGTCAACGCATTTATCTACTGGGCCATATGCCCGAACAATGTAAATACCGTAATTAGTTACAATACCTCATCTAAAAAATAAAGACAGTTGTTATTCGATGGTGTATTTTTTTTTCCTTCGGTTCCATTGTACATTTTTATTCAAGCACCCATAACTGGTGCTAAAGCTATAGCTGACTTCTTCAATGAACCGTCCGATATATAATCTATGTTAAGGTACTTTTCAAAATGACATCGAATCAAAATATATTATTTTACCCACCAACACTATCACAACAACAACTAATAAAATATTATCAAAGTGTTGTAGCATACTTACGGACGATAATGCGTATGCCCCGATGTACATACATACAGTAGTAAATACTGTATGTTGGTCTGCAGTAAGAGATTCGTCTCCAGCTGTGCTGGTCAAACTCTCTGCCTTCAGGCAGAGAAGATCCTCAGACAAGACTATGCCGAAGAGCAGAGTCTCGTCCTGGGGAAACAGCTACCCGACCCCGTTTTATACGGGGTGTACGGCGAATTTTTGGCCTTGTGCTAAATCTGACCGCGAGGGTGATTGGTAGATATTCTACAGTTTGATATTCATTGTGTAATTCACTTAACTCACTTCTAGCCGTTGACTGCTACTTCTACGCGCCGCTTATATGTGTTGTTCTTGTCCTAAGTATGATCGTTTTTTACCAACCTTCGTGTGATTATTCTGTTCAGTAACCTTAGCTAGGTTACAACACTAAGCTTTACATTAAATGTATTATAACTAATTCTAAAGCAATAAAGGACTTAATTAGTACAAAAATATAATAATACGGTAAAAGATGAAGGAAGTATTTTCTCTATCATCTGTAATAATTGCGACGAAAAATACACAGGGGAAATCACAAGAAATTTAAATAAAAATTATATGAACACAAAGGGGATCTCTTAAATGCATTTGATGTTAACTGTAATGAGTTTTACAAAAATTTCGACTTAAAATAACGCATTTCTAGTTAATTGATTGATTCGTTTTGTACCTCATTTGCATGTTCTTTAAATCCAGAAAATATTTTAAGATTGTAAGATTTTTTTGTAGATAATATGGTTTTCGTTCCTGTTATGGTGAAACACACCTATTCTATAGTTAATAGACTCTCCCACCTAATATAAGTAGGAGTAGTAAGAGAAACGATGGTCAGTCGATGTCGGCTGAACGGTTGAACTTTCTGCCTTCAGGCGGGGAGGAACCCGAACGAGGCTACGCTGAGGGGCGGATTCTCGTTCGGAGAGGTAAACCTGCCCTGAACCCGTTTATACGAGTTCAAAGGGTATATTTTTAGCCGAGTCCACGGGCTCGGAGATCCCACGTTAAACCGGCCTTGTGTCACATGATACCCACGTGCGGGGTGACTAAATAATAGTCGATGTCGGACGACCAGCTGAACGGTTGAACTCTCTGTCTTCGGGCGGGGAGGAACCCGAACGAGTCTGTGCTGAAGGGCAGAGTCTCGTTCGTGGAGTTAAACCTGCCCTGAATCTGTTTATACGGGTTCAAAGGGCATATTTTTGGCCGAGTCCACAGGCTCGGAGATCCCACGTTAAACGGGCCTTGTGCTACATGATACCCTCGTGGGGGTGGGTGACTAAATACTAGTCGATGTCGGACGACAGTAGTCGACAGTTAGTCGAATAGGAAAGTAGTTAGGGACCACAACAAGATTACTCTGCGTAATACCAATTATATAAAGTTCCTAATGGTTTGTACGTCGAACCTATTTTAGGACCGATTTAGTACAAATACAAGCCTCCACTGCGAAATAACTCCACAACAGTTACACAAGTCTTACTAATTCCCCTAAAGCTGTGGGAGAAGAGGTGTTTTCATACATTTTCCAAGTGTATTTACGCGTACAGTGAATGTAGCGAACCCAACCAGAAATGTAATTCTGATTAACAATTCCGAGTCATTATCCATGACGCCACATACACATCCAAGCTTGCAGCACCTGGTATTCCCAAATGGTCACCCATCCAGGTACTGACCAGGTTGGACGTTATTTATCTCCGGTAATCATATGGGAACCGGGGTTTCAACATGATATGGCCTTAAGCTACTATTCTAATTTAAAGATAGAGAGCAATTTACTAGAACGAAAATTTATAGAAAATGCTTTAATTGTTAGATCATCCAAAAGGAAATGTTCGTTCGGATTCTTAGATGATTTCACTTTTTTTAGCGGATCATGTATTATCACAATATGGGAAATTTAATATCAAAACTGGTAAAATCGTAAACAAAAAGGAAGTAAATAAATTCTGCTAGTCTATATAACAAAAACATGTTAAAAAAAATTTAAAAAAAAAAAAAAATTTTGAAATACTCAACGTCCCGTCTCATTCGTGCACGCGTGTAGTCCCATTATTGCTAAGTCCACTTTAGACTAACGAAGTCCTAAAGAACGAAAAACGTCACACGAAAACCTTTTCCAATTAGTCAATATTTTCATTAAAATTATTATCTATCCGATATATCTTCATATACTTCACTTCCTTCTTCATATTATATCCATACAACAAACTAATTCCATAATCGTCTCGGAGCGACATTTGGGCGAATGCTCTCAAAACTTGAATTGGGGTAATGCACTCGGACTTTGAATTGGGCGATAACTTAATAATAAAAAAAGAACTACCAATTTAATAAGGATAGATAATTGACTTTATCATGCATCTACAGAAGGATCCTGAGGATACCATGGACCAAACATGCAAGCAACGATGATGTTTTAGAGAAAATAGAAACTAAAAGGAAACTTATACTTAACATCAGGAAGAGACTGTTGAGGTTTCTAGGACACATAATGAGGAAAGAAGTCTTGGAAAATCCGACACGTACAGTACAGACTGAAGGCAGGGTCGGAGACAGACAAACAACATATAATATACTTAGTTGAGTTGAGTAAATGAATGGCGGGACAGGGTTTAGGGGAGATAACAGAAAAAATTATTAAGATATGCAAAGGACAAGACATTGAGAAGAGCCACGATCACCTACGTCATTTTTAAAAGATTCACAATATCGAAAATCATTATTTTGTGTAAACAGGATTGCGTACATTCTTTCAGCTTTATCGCATGTTGAAATCGAATACAGGGTGCAGCAGAAATACCTTCCACACAGTGTTAAGACATTACCTACTTGAAGATACCATTGCCACTAATATCTTAAGAATATGGGGACTCTTTCTGGGAGGTATATGTGGGCGGTATTTTCTGTCTCAACCTGTGTATATTCAATATTAGTACGAAAATTTATGCCAAGTTCGTCTTATTATTCTATGGACTTTATTCCTTCAGGGAGTGGGCGATCTTGGTTCTACGCAACGTCCTACCATTTGTCGCTCTTAGCACTATCTCTCTTATTGCTATCTCTCCTAATCCCTGTTCTCCGAAACATTGACGCAAGCTTGATATGTAAGTCATTCGCTGCTCTCAACTGTCGTTCTGCTCTTCAACCTGTCCTGTGGGTGTTAAATGGTACCTTTCCCCCCCCCTTCTAGGAAATCATTTCCTGTGTCCTAACTGATCTGGTACTTTCATTTCTTAGGCTTTCTACTACGTGGACATTTTTTCAGGGAGCATTACTTTCTAGAAGCTATGCATAAAACTTTGTTCATCTCCGCTGATTACAGGGTCAAACCAGTTTGATATAATTGGAATGAATCGTGGCGTTTAGACAGGTTTCGTTCAGGTAAATAGTGAATTTTAATTTCATCTTTAACTTATGTTATTATTAGTTGCGACATTTTGTGAATTAACGAACTCTACTTCATATATGATTCTTGGAATTTTAACTCGCTTTTGTTTCACATTATTCCATTGCTAACTTTGAAACCGAAATTATTCAACCTAGTAATAATATATTTTTAGTTAAATATACATTAACGTATCACATAAGAATATTCCATATCGCTATTTTTATTTATTATCTACGAATTGACTTTAATTCGCGTAAAAAATCTCATTGGTTTCCTGTTGCCTCCATCACTTCTTTCTATTACATTTTTCTAATCTTTTAACATTGTAAAGTGAACTGGCGTTTACATGAACAAATTTGACAATTCTGTTTAATATATTTCACTTTCTCACATCCTTCCATTAAGGACTAAATTTGTTTTTTACGGTTATCAACCCTTTGCAGGTTATTTCAAAACAACATATTTTTAGAATGAAAGAAATTTGTTGAGATAATGATTTTACTGATACAGTCAGTCAGTAAGTTATGTGTCATGCGTGATACATGCTTAGGTGATCATATATGTTTCGATACATGGCAACCTACTGCGGGGAAAAATCTGCCTCGTCAGTCATGTATCTTTCGAGGCAGATTTTCCAGCTGTCAGTTGCTATTTCTTTCTTCAGTATACTAGTTGTCACTCAAGTCTATAGAACCTTCTAAATTACCCATAGCTGGTGGGAGAAGAAGATGATTCATCTCTTTTCCAATGGTATAAGCATTAAAGTGAATGTAATAGATTCGACTAGAATTCGAACTCGGCTCTCCGATGCATCAATCTGAGCCGCTATCCATTACTCCACTGCATGTCCTAATAATTAGCCTATAGCTGGCAAAGAAGAGGTGGATTTGTACATTTCCCAGATGTATTTACGAGAAAATGAATTAAACGAACCCACAAGAATCGAAAATTGACGCTCTGACTTCCAATTCCAAACTGTTATCCTTTACACCACGAGCACATCTACGCATAAAACACCTGGTATTCCAAGCGGTCATCTATCTACCTAATGATAGGGATCGAGGTTGTTTAGCTTAGGTGATCGTCTGAGATTCTGTGTTTCAACGTGATATGACATTAAACCTGCTTTATTTACGAAAAGCAGTCTTCAAACGCCTGATATGATATCCCTTCTTCTCCATGATATACAATTTTATTCCCCAGATTTAGCACATGTGGACTTCCGTTTTAACACCGTTGCTGAGATCCAGAGCGAATGGAATCGCAGAAGGAAAACAACTTCCAAGACGGATTCCCAAAGTGTGTGGAACGCTGGGACCGGTCTGTTCCTTCGCAAGGTAAATATTACGAAGGAGATGAAATTACAAGATTGGTAAATGTTTTTAATTTTTAAAGCATAACTTGTCTTGTAACTTGTTGTTACCACCGCGTGTGTATATATATATATATATATATATATATATATATATATATATATATATATATATATATATATATATATGTCTTAATAATTGGTGACTGGAAGGGATAATTCTGAGGAAGATATATATCCAGGGAGAGCTCAATGTTGACTACAGAACATTATAATGATAATAAGAAGATGGAGACTTTAATTATCGTTTCGATTGTAAAATTATTTCATGAGGACCGAGTTTTTACGGAGGTGATTTCGATCTGAAGAGTTGGACATCTCGGTGTTCACGAAATAAATTTATAATCGAAATGGATGATTTTAAATCTCCGTCTTCTTATTAACATAATATATATATATATATATATATATATATATATATATATATGTGTGTGTGTGTGTGTGTGTGTGTGTGTGTGTGTATATATATATATAAATGAGCAAAGAAAAAAGCTGAAGAAATGGTTGTCTGTGAACGAGATAGCGTTTTATATTTTCCAAATTGTGACGTGTTATTTGATTTCAATATAGAATTGCATAATTACCGATTGAAAAGGATATAGATTGATCGGTTAAGGTTAGGGTTATATAAAGTACCGGTTCTCGGTAAAAAAAAGAAGCTAAGTGGAAATTCTTTATTACCAATGGAATACAAAATAAAAAAAAACACTAGGGTGACTCAATCATGTGTACGTCACATGTCGGTTTTAATTGTTTAGTTTTGAATTAGTGAAACTTAAGCATATACCTTAGCTGAACCTTTTCCATGCAATTTGCGATAAAATAACAGTAGGCTAGTGTCTTTTCGTCTGAAGGAAATGGGTTGCCGAGAGAAAACTAATTCCTCATCCACAAGGCCGCAGAAATGCTTTTGAATTCGGTCAAGTATAGAAAGTAAAGATTGGATAGCTATAACCCATACACAGCAGAAATAATCCATTGTTGGACTGATCTGGCTATCGTAAAGACAGTGCGTAGCAAGAAAGTCAGCTACATTCTGCAACGTTAATACGAACCGACAATTTTTGTCGATATATTGTTGTTCATGATGACGGTCGTCTTTGAGTATAGAATCCAGAGGTTAGCAATGAATATTTCGAAGACAGTAGGAAAGCGTTGCTCAGGTTAGTAGTGGATATCCCGGTAAAGTAGCAGAGCGTAGTTCAGTAGTTCTTCCTTCTGTTCTTTCGCCTGGACATTCGGAGAGAGTAAACAGAATGGCCGCCTTTATACACGACGGATTGAATATTTTACGTCTTCTGATTGGTTAACCTTCTATTGGTGGACTATAAATTGAGTCAACTCATTTTGACTCGCTCACTAGTACATACATATACACAAAAAACTGCAACATATGTGAGTTGCAGTTGAGGTCTGAAGTGAGATTGAATCCCATTAGGCGTTCAAAGAAAGGATCTTCACCGAGATTACATCATAATGCTTACAGTAAATTCAGTGCACTTCATTCAACCTTTGTTTGAAGGGGAAAATTATCAAATTATTAGGAGATGAGTGATGTTCAGCGTACACATGCATTATCGCAATTCTGAGAGTGACGGTTAAAATGGTCGCTGTTGTTAACCAATCATACACGTGAAATAGGGGCATTTCAGTGAGATGTAATGGTTAGTAAACTCGCCTAGCTAAATTAGTCACGACTGAGAAGTGTGTTCGATGCTCATTGAATGCCCTCAAACTTTCGGCCTTGTACCACGTCAGAACTACGTATAAAAACCACCATACACGTGTAATAGTGTTTCAAAGCCTCAGATGCCTAAACACTACACGTAATTAGCTTGGTTGATTTTCTTTTCTTTTTTTTACTAAAGACATATTTCTTTTCATTCATCGAAAACATCATTCATTCGGAAGAAACAGAGGCACGCTCTGGCGCGCGTACATACACAAAGACACACACAAAGACACACACACACACAC